TGTTTTTAAAAAAGAAATCACATGTAAAAGCTTTTTTTATTTTATCTTCAAATATTGTTATTTATTTATTTATTTAAAGCAGCAGTTTACACACGCACGCACTCACACCTGCAGGGATATGAGGTACACCCAAGTGCACGCACACAAGCGTATGCTGCTGTACGGCCGCACACGCTGCCTGCAGGTATCCATGTGCACACACACCCTTCCCCGTGCACACACACACACACACAGGTACACATACACACAACCATGTATGTATCGCACACGTGTCCAGAGTACCCGTGTGCCTGTCACACACACACACAATATCCATGTGTCACACAGCCTATTGGGCATGCAGTACCCCCGTCCCTCACACACAACCTGTCACACACACGGTACCCCCATCCCTCACACACAACCTGTCACACATGCGGTACTCTCATCTCTCACACAGCCCGTCAGGCACATACACAGTACCCCCGTCCCTCACACACAACCTGACACACACGCGGTACCCCCATCCCTCACACACAACCTGTCACACATGCGGTACCCTCATCTCTCACACAGCCTGTCAGGCACATACACAGTACCCCCGTCCCTCACACACAACCTGACCCCCCAACCTGTCCCACACGTGGTCCCCTCATCCCTCACACAGCCCGTCAGGCACACAGTCCCCCCCCCCATCCCTCACACACAACCTGACACACACACGGTATCCCCATCCCTCACACACAACCTGTCACACATGTGGTACCCTCATCTCTCACACAGCCCGTCACACACGCGGTACCCTCATTTCACACACAGCCCATCAGGCACATACACAGTACCCCCATCCCTCACACACAACCTGTCACGCACGTGGTACCCTCAACCCTCACACACAACCTGTCACACACGTGGTACCCTCATCTCTCACACAGCCCGTCAGGCACACAGTACCCCCCCCATCCCTCACACACAACCTGACACACACACGGTATCCCCATCCCTCACACACAACCTGTCACACATGTGGTACCCTCATCTCTCACACAGCCCGTCACACACGCGGTACCCTCATTTCACACACAGCCCATCAGGCACATACACAGTACCCCCATCCCTCACACACAACCTGACACACACACGGTA